CTTCTTTCAAATATGCTTCCCCATGGAGGTTGACTGAAAAGTGGGCGGAGTCATTTGAATAAGAAGATTCAGAAATTCGGACTCGTCGCTGATCACCGGCAGTCTTTTGCATTTATGATTTGCAAAAGCAGCCTTAAGATTTGCCAACTCTCTCTGAAGTTCCTTTTTCTCCTCTTCAAGCATTCTTTTCTCAGCTCGAATCTTGTTAGTTTTCTGCGATAAAGTAAAAAAGGAAAAAAAGATAATTATTTACGAAACAACAGGTGTACAAGTTTTGATTCATTTTTATTGATTCATTTTTATCCTTAGTTCAACTTAACCCTTTTCCGTGTGTATTCAGATATACCACTGAATACATACACCAATAACAGATACAGGGTTGGATCTTTTTTTCGGTCGAACAATTTCAGGGCCCGCGCAGAGGGAGGGGCTGGGGAGCAGCCCCCCCCCCTCCCCCAGTACTCTTTGAAAAAAAAAAAAAGTAATAGACATTTTCAAGTAAAAAGTAACTTTGTTGGAGTAAGAATGTTCGGCTGGCGGACCTCGCAAAAGTATCTAAATTTATTATTGGCCCTCCGATCATATAGCTGATGACTAATAAGCCTCAAAACGCCTATCTTTACAAAACTGCACTTAGTCGTAGGCTTCTGCAGCAATGCGGAATTCATTGATGCAAGGTTCACCGTTAACCCTATTAGTCCCGATAGTGACCAACATCAATTTTCTCATAACAATATCCAGTAATTGTCAAGAGATACAGTTATGATAATTTACAAATGATCACCAAAGAGAAAATACATTGATCTGTTATTAAATTCTCTCAACTGATTCTTTAAGGAAATGTATGGAGATCAGTTTGGAGAATTTGTATGTTGATATTGGCACTTAAAGGGTAAATTTGAAGACTAATTGACGGAACTTAATGGTTGCTTAAAACGAATTTTATTTGCTGATGATGTAGTCCACGATGCATTAAAAGCCCGACTGGAAATTGAAAGTTTTGATCAATGGTTGTGAAATTACATGTTTCGATGACATCCTAGACAAAATGAATGGGTCACAAGAACCTCATAAGATCATGATAAATCAGTGAAATTGTCACCATCTGCAAACTTCTGCTGCTGAACCCTCTATGTGCAATCAGGCTCAGCAGGAGAAAGGTCCTTTTCGGCGGCTTGAAGGTTAAAAACACGGCTCCGTTTAACAATTATTCAAGAAAGCTTCAGTAATCTGACAGTACTAAATAGCCACAAAGAGAGAACTGGCAATGATTTTCCTTGCCGACGTGGCAAATAAATTTGCTGATCCTAACCATAATTAACCTGTGAATAGAAGCGAGGATGGCTGTGACCTTGTTTTGTCACAAAGCTTCTTGTTTTTCATATGTAAATGATCATGTTCACGGGCTTGTTAGCATGAGAATACCAAGATTTGCAAATGAAAAGCGGGCACTGAGCAAACAACTGTAAAATGGCCTATTGGAAAAGTAATTTCAGTATATTTAGAGCCCACCCCCGCACCCCCGACAACCACACCCCCACTTTAAAAGCGGTGGTTATTCGCCCCCGCACTTTAAAAACTGCTCGGTGGCCCCTGCAAATACCGGCAGAAAGATGCCTGAAGTTTAAAAATATAGACAGGGTTTTAAACGGGTCTTCGTCTTGCTGGAATTTGTGAAAATATCCACTTCAGATGGGGACTAATCCTGTAAAAATCTGTCTTTTTTTTCGTTGCTTATATATATCATGATTGGTATGCGATCATAGACATGATAGAACTTATGATTTGGAATACCTTCAGAAATCTTAAAATTGCATAATGTTGAAGTTTACGGTTGAAATAAGATAGACGGGTACACGCAAATTTCTAATGGATTTTGCAATTCAGAACTTTGCCTTTCACTAGCGCTTAGAGATACGGGCTTAAAGATTCTCCTGCTCAGATCTGTACAGTTCAGACAGTTTTTCTAATTTAACGATAAGCAATCATAACTAGTTACTCTAAGAGTAAGCAATACCTGTTGGAGTTTTTCAATCCGTTCTCTCTTTCGTTTTCGACATTTTGTTGCCGCAATCTTGTTTCGTTCCCTTCTCCTCTTCAAAACCTCTGGATCTTCTTTCACTTTCTAAAAAGGAAAAATATAAACATATCCATCACACTCAGTTCTCAAACTCATTAATAATTCATAACGAAAATACAAAGGAAGTTAAATGTTTAATAAGTGTTTGGAAATCGGATGAGAAACTGCTCATTTTTGCATGCTTAATTTCTCCGTCTTAAATTATTTTGTTTGAGAAGTAATATCAGGCAAAGAATTCGACACAGTGTTTCATCACCTGATGAAACACCTCGAAGTTCGTCAAAAATACTCGGCCGCGCGTGGTATTTTCAATTCTCTTCTTTCTGTTTCTTCTAGTGATGAAACACTGCGTCTCATGTTTGATCTATTACTTCTAGACCACACTTCATGAAATTCAGGAAATTAAATGTACAGACTCTGCATGCATGGCATGGAATCATAGTTAGTGAAAGAGACTGGTTATCAAAGACCGTGCTTCAGTTTATGTTGTAAGCGCCCTGACGGTTCACAATAAATTAATGGGACGTCTTTATTTGTCAACAAGATCCAAATGATAGGAATGCTATTAAACGTTGTGCACCTTCAAGTCCACAAAAAAAAAAAAAAATAGGGCAAAGGAGTCTGACGCGGTTTCATAACTATTCCACTCTATTAACTGGAATCGAAGAAGCGGTACGAACGGATCGGACAATGAATTCTGAATACATAAATTTAAAACTGGTCTATGCTTTCTTGTAATCTGAACTTTAAAACCGGAGTGATTAGTACAATTTATGTACTTTCTTTTATTCCTTTATCATACTGCAGTGGATGGCACCACCTTACAACGTTAACGCAACTTTTCTTCATGAAAAATTACTCTTACAAAGCTTTGACCGAAGTAAGAAATTCGTAAAATGGGTCAAGGATGTAGGCGCATAATTCAATGTTTCGCGATTAGTACATCGCCCATAACACACCTTGTTTGCCCACCAAAACGTTGCATAACCTTTGTGTTTTATTTCTCCTGGGTGTTACAGTCCTCTCCAGGGAAATAAAAGGCAATTCTTAAACATAACTTTGGGGGGCAAACCGCGAGAGAGGGCAAACAAGGTGTATCATGGGAGATGTGAAAATGGCGAATACAACATGTGCTTTTTTTTTCTTTCTCTTAGCAATTAAATATTTTGACTTTTCTGGATGTAACCGTTGTAAAAACTCTCTTGCAGAAATGAAGAGGACCGGGAGTCCCCGTCCGTCTCTTTTGCTAATAAATAGAGATCCTTTTTACTGTCTTTTAAGGTGACACACTGATCGAATCTGTCTCTCTACAAACAATCAATAAAAGAAACAGAATTCCCCTGATTCTCAAAAGCACCAGAATTAACACCCAAAATAATCCAAATGAGTATCGGTCATATGTTTGGGGAGGAATGTACGCCGTTGAACCTAAAATCGCCTGAACTGATTGGCGCGACTGACTGCGAGTTTAGTTCATCAGAACTGAGATAAGAGATTAGATAACTGCAATGACCCACTTACGACCTCAATTTTTTTTGTATCTTTACTTCGTCGCTGCCTTTTTTCTTTGTATATCCTTGTTGTTGTTTTGATAAAAATATATCACGTCCTTTGTTAAAATCATGGCATGTTGAGACTTCTCTTGGTCTGTTTAACGAGCACGAGAGTATCGATATTGGCCCGATAGCCCGATGCACTATTTTCTTAACAAATATACTAGATTTCTGTGAGAAAAAATTTATAGAACATTTCATGACATTAGAAACTTATTCATATATTGGTTCTATTCATGCAGTCTGACGCACGTTTGTACAACGACTTATACAACGTAAAAAAAAAACGAGAAACAATTTTAAAGCCATGATATTAAACAAGTTGGCTATTTTTATTCCTTATGGGACTGATTTCTGATGGGATTTTTCTTTAATTACAACTAGAACGGCATATCCCCCAAAATAATGATAAACAGGTGGTATTTAATCCGTTTTTCCCGAACAAATCGAAAGCAAAAGATCTCGAGAGTTTACGAAATTTGGTACAGAAGAAAAGTGAAACAACGCAATTTTTAACTCTTTTTATAACTCTATATTTTCGCAGGAGGAGTAGAAACTAAAAAAACGGACACTTTTTCGTTTTCCAGTAAATTTCAATTTCACTGTTTCGAAAAAATTTCACTGCCAAAGGCAGTTAAATAAAATAAAACAAAACGGACAACTAGCTACAACTGCTTTAATCATCAAACGATCAGTTGGACCAAATAAAATGACCGCTTGAATTAATGAACGCACTTTTGCCTGACCGTATTGCGATGAAACTTATGGGAAAATATTTCATTTTCAATGGAGAGAACTGAAATATTGGTGGTAAAGTGTTAAAATTGGAATGGCCCAGGAATAGTTTAAAAAATGTAAAAAATATATGATGACATTATTCTTGATGCGTATTCATAATCATTCTCTCTTGTTCAAAAATTATATCAGCAATAAGAAATGAGTCATTATGAACATATTACATTTCTTTGCAATATATGAGGAAAGTGAGCTAAATCTGAGGTGTTTTTTAATTGAGGATTCAAAGCTAAATGTTCGTATAGTGTTGACTTGCATGTTCCGATTCACCGAGCTCGCAGGAACAAGGGCTTCGCTTTGTCGCCGTACGTTTCCCTGCCCGCACAGTTTATACATGTACACTGATATATCAAAAGCACATATTAACATTTCTTAAGCGTAAATTTGTACTTTACTTACTGGTTTTGGAGGTTCTGGTTCCTTCATTTCTACTTGTGGAAGCTCAGTTCCGTTATACTTCGTCTTGATTTTCTCCTTTAACTCATTTTTAACCTGAGTACTCTCAACTTGGGCGGGAGGTTCGATGCCTAATAAGGCGGCTTCGTGGCTGTACCCTACTGGTGGCTAATAAAGAAACAAAGAGTTAAAATTATTCCTTTTCTTCAGCTAAGAATAAGACCAATTCATTTGAGTAAATCAATGATATCTATTCTATCTCTGTATCAAATGTTTACTCACGCAGTTGGGAAGGTGTATAAGAAGGGTAAAGCACTACATCAGCGTTAAGGGCATTCAGTTTTAGAAGTAAGTAAGAGTTAGACTGCATAAAAGCGGCCGAAACATCTAAATGAAGCGCTTTCTTAAGAAAGCAGTCATTTCTAAAATCTCCCTGTTAATACAGGTACTCCCCAGTTCATTCCAACTAACTCTAAAGCGAGTTTCGTTATGTTAACTCTAAATCCCTCTGATCCTTTTGGACAAACCAGAACTAAACTATCGGAAGACTTTTAGCTCACTGACATCTGTATCTCGACTCGATTATCTCGGACTGTATATATATTTATATCCACAAGAGAAAACACTGACATCAATTTCATTTATTGTAGTAAAGCTCGGACGTTTGTTTAAGGATGGTTTCAGATCCGTTGAAGGTGTCACTATTGTCTTAACTCAACAGCAGTTAAACCTGAACCCGAAAACGCAGTGATCCTGAACTGCTGCTAGTGTTGATTTCCTTGTAATCCTAGCTAAGTTCCAGGAATTGCGCCAACAATAATATTTAAAATTTAGTGAGCCTTCTCTGTGCCCTGAAGCAGATAATCATTACCGTTTTATGCAACGTGTATGTTTTTTAACCCCTTTTTTCTATTAGGAAAGAAGTTGATATCTTACAGTTTAGGAGAAGGAAGACGTCTGGAACAAGTACTCTTTTTTCACGAAAATTTAATATAGAAATGTTTACAACTAACCTGAAATAAACTAACTGAAATCTGTATGTTAAAAACCTTCGCTCCTCGAACAAGCTATGTAGCCTGTGCATATTCCAAATCAGTTTTTTTCAAATAGCTTAGATTATAGAAAGTAGCGTGATTTGTAACTTACCCACAAGAATTGTTGATTAAAGGGCTGAAATGCGCCGTTAAAATTTGCAGCCATCGTTGATGAAGTTAACGCTGTCGGCCAAAGATGCTGCTGTACTATGTCTTCCACGGTGGTTTTCGATTTTGTGAACAAGTAAGGCTGTCTCTCCGGGGTTTATTTAAAGACTCATAACTTTGAGGGAAAACCCCCATATCTCATGCGTCCAGGCTATCAAACGAAGATATATAATTCTTCGGAACTAATTTGCATTTCGTACATTACAGTTGTCACGATCTATTTTAGGTATCAAAACAAGAATTAGGTGAATATTGGGGTTATTTGTTTTGTTTTTCTGCTAAAAGAGAGCTGAGCGATTCTTGGAAAAAGCGGCATAATAATGAACTTCCGGTGTCACGCAACGTCCTTTCTGTGTACTGCGGACCGGAGGGCGTCTGGAAAACGAATGGAAACGCACAAAACCGTAGTAAATGCGACAATGCGAAATATTAAATAAATACCATAGTTTTAGACTTGATGTATTGCGAACATTTTACGTCCCGTTATTAGCTCCGAAAGGACTGATAAGGCTCTTACCGAAGTGGGCGAAACACGAGACATTTTTAATATCACACTTTTTTGCAGCAGTGTAGTGTAGCGGTGTTAAAAAGTCGCACGTGGGTTTCGATCCCGGAAAAAATAAACCGGAATCAATGGCCGGAACGAAGGTGCAGTCACAAACCGGTCACGAGTAGAAACGATATTTCGTTCTTTTTTTTTTTCGAGTGTCCCGGTCAGGTATCCCGTTCTGCTTTTTTCCTTGTACCCGAAAGGATGTGTGTTTGTAGACGCTGTAAACATGGGCTTGGCCATCAAGCATTCAGTTAACAGGCATATTAAAATTCGTATTTGGTTAATTAACTAATCAGACCATTTTTTCTCAGAAATCGCAAGATATAAAACGAGGGTAGGCTGGTTCGTTCTCAGAAATCACGAGCTTTAAGGACTGGGCGGTTGCTGCCCCCGCATTTCTGACCAGCCCAAGGGATGGTATCAACCTTTGAGTACAGGGTCATCTGCAGCGAGAAAGTGAAAGACGCCCCCGCGCGGTGCTTCTCCGTAAACAATAACTCCTAACAAACGTTTTTAATTCTAAAAGATGAGAAATGAAGAGGAGATGGGTGAAGGCAATGCCCTATAAAGCCTTACAGGTGGAAAATTTATTTCTGTCTCTCGACGAATACTTTGTAAAGTCGCTTTAAAACGGGAAAAACCCTCACATCGTGTGGGGGTCCCGTGCACCATGCACCAGCCAATAGAATGATTCATTACGCAATCTTTTGAAAAGCAAGGAATACTGATACACGACAACAAGCAACAAGCAATTCCTTGATATTCGTGGTAGATCTTTACTGTTGCTTTATATCTTCGAAGCCGCAGACGGGGGGGAAGGGGGGGGGGGAGACTTGGTTTCGTGTCAAAAGGATATTAATGTTACCCGCTGGTTGGCACATACCCGCATGTGTATCACTGAACATCCCCCGAGAACCGGCCTAGATTATAAATGAAAAGCTAGGAGAGGGAGAGATAATAATCTTTCCNGGGGGGGGGGGAGACTTGGTTTCGTGTCAAAAGGATATTAATGTTACCCGCTGGTTGGCACATACCCGCATGTGTATCACTGAACATCCCCCGAGAACCGGCCTAGATTATAAATGAAAAGCTAGGAGAGGGAGAGATAATAATCTTTCCTTACAAAATTGTCTTTATTCCAAACAATTATAAAATTTGTGCGTTAAATATGTCCAGTTTGCTACTATTCAGATGCAAATGATGTACTCCATCTGGCAAGTGTCAAGTGGCTAGCGCTTGGAGGTTCAATAAATTACGTAAATGATCTTGGTCACGCTCCATGTAGAATTCTGCGAAACAGGGCGTGACGGAGTTAAAGACGCGCCCATTTCTTGATAATACCTGCGCAAATTTATGAGTTCAAAAAAAGATAGGATATAAATGAAACGGGATTTCCTTCAGTTTGGAAGAACAAGGAAAGTTACACGTCTAAATTTTGTGTCTGAATCCTTTGATAGATAGTTCAACAGGAAGATGGCCACGGGGAGAAATAATGGATAACATATTCATATTGTTTGCATGAAAGATTATTTCAATATCACAGTCTCGTATTTCATGATTGCTCACGTAATCGAATACAAAGTTCTAATAACCTCTACTAACTTTGCCTTCCGCAGAGCCACTTCGTTTATATTTATTAAAGTCAAAAATAAAAAATTGCACATAACACATGCTCCAGTACAACAAAGACGTATTCCTTAGTTCCAAGACCGCATGTATTACAAGAGAAAACGGAAGGTACTCAATTATGATTGCAATTAAAGAGACAACCTCTTGGAAAAAGCGGATTGTTTGTGTTCCGGTTAGTTCACGGTTTAAAGATTGATTTCTTCCGGTCTGGTCACGAATTTGTGTTCAGTTGTTTACTTTTTTATCCTGTTTGGTCATATTATAACTTTGTCTTTTACCGGTAAAAGTATGCTAAAGACCCCCTGTTTTGTTATGTTTTCCACAAAATTTCAGTTTCTTGTTTCCTCTTTTTCGTGTTTATTTCCGTACTGTCCTCTTCCGCTTTTGTCACGAAAATTTTGTTTGGTCTTCCAATTTGTCACGAAAATCCCACTCGACTTCCGGTTGACAAGTAGTGAATTTCCGTTGCCAAAAAGTTGCGGCAATTTTTTTGGTCAAGTGACAATTTTTCATCACTTTAAGAAACTTTAAGTGACAAGAATTGCTTTCTATCAAAACGTTCCTGTTAGTTCACACCACAAGGAATATAACTGACATACCCGTAGGCTAAAAAATAAATTGCTTTATATATTTAAACATCAATTCTCGTTTATATTGTTCGTTCACTACGCCTAGTAATAAATGACCTATGTACATGTATTACAAAACTTGTTCTCTTTTGTCACGTGAAAACTATTCTTGCACCCTAGATGCTCCAATTTGCAGCCTTATCTTTGAAGGCGGTCATTACTTCACTGCTGAGCACAAATTTGATTTGCAGTAGCCGGCGAATCTATCATAGGCTAGATTTGCGGAGATCTGCAGCCATTTGTAAAGGTTGTGTTCATGGATAACATAATCATACCACTATCAGGCATTTCAGAGAGCTTGCGAATTTCTCATCTGCGATGCCAGATTTTTGAGCGCCCGATGTAATTCATGTAATGTCGAGGATGAAAACACCGAACGCTTATTGCTTCTCTGATCTAACACCGCCAAATGAGCTCTGATTCCAATAGTCCCACTGGCACATGTTTGACGGTGTCATCATTATTAAGAGAAGCACTGATGATGTAGTTGAACCATTCAGTGTACTGTAGGTGCATCAGAGATCACGGTAGCTCCATGTTTATCCCACAGCTCCATAGCTTTACTGACAATTCTGACAAAACTGTCTTCAGGTACGGGCTGGGGATAAAAATTCAAAAATTCATTGGTTTCTTAGCCTGCGAATGGCAGACGTTTCACCTCGCCCATCGCCGCTGAGGGACGTTTCGCAGGCTATTGGTTTCTGGGATCGGTAGCCACGAAGACAGCTTAGAAACACGTCATGCTAAGCTGAAAAATAGCTAGCTATAGCTTTCAGGACATGGATTTCAAACATAGCGAACAAGGAATGCCTTTTATAATAACGACCGCGCCTGACCATTAGATTATCGGTTTCATAACTGTCAAATGTCGCGCTCTATTCAGTAATTAAGGCCTGTTTCAAACGTCGTGCTACTGCCGAGCTAAGCTGGCTCGACTGTAGCTCGACTGCAGCACGATATTAGCAGGACTTGGTTTCAGACGTCGAATTTAATTCACACAATAACAGTCGAATGGAACGGCTGTTGCCAAAAACAAAACACAAAAATAAAGAAACTGTTTAGCAAACTTTTAAATATATTCTAAAGTATTTATAATATTATTCATGAATTGAGTTCGGCACGGCGGTAGCACGACGTTTGAAACCAAGTCGAGCTACTGCCGTGTATCACGGCAAGGATTGCCGTGCTACACGGCAGTAGCACGACTTGGTTTCAAACGTCGCGCCACTGCCGTGCTAAAGTCGAATTTAATTCGATCAATAGAGTTCGGCACGGCAGAAGCACGACCTTTGAAACGGGCCTAAGGTGTTTCGATACAGTTTTTCAGAGGCCCTACCGATATTTTTCAGTCGCCTTAAAAGTGTTTTTTTCCTAGTCCGATCGCTATAAAATTTTCACCAGTAATTGGCTATAGATTGAAATTTGTGAAATAAAGAGGATATTACACAGTGGCGCGAAGATATGAATTTTATTTTCGAGTGGCAAAACAATATTTTACGAACGAGCGCAGCGAGTGAGTAAAATATCGTTTTTGCCACGAGGACATTACTAGTACATTACAGTGTGAGTATTGTCAATGTTTCACATTCAAAAGATGCGATAAATTCAAACTAAAATGTACTAGTCATGGAGGTATGTATAGTGCGCATTATTTTCGAAAAATTAGCATAACGTCAGAACAGTGAATATTGTAACGCAGATTTTTGACAGGTTCGTAGGATAGGTTTGTCTTGAAATTTCAAGGTGTTGCAGCACAGGTAGCCCAGGCTCGAAATATGAGCATCAGCGAGCATCGCCATTGTTGCGTAACATTCAAAATATAAGGATTTGTATGGGAAAAAAACCTATTGTTTCTGTAACCTACGAAAGTGAATGGATTTCAATAAAAAACAGCTTACCTTACTTAAAATGTGTGTTACGTCTCTCCTGTGTGGTCCACGGGCCGATTTATGGCCGTTTTATGGGTTTTTATGTAAGCTGTTTTCTCTCTATATAAAGGTAAAACTTTACATAGAGAGAAAACTGATGCTCATATTTCGAGCTTGGGCTACCTGTGGTTGCAGGGAATCAATCTCAATAAAAGTTTCAGACATTATTGTATACAGTATGAAGATTATCTGAAGAGATTTTAAAAAAATCCGTTGGAGTCGTTTCAGAGATCTACAAAAAAGCGCTAAAAGTCCAAATTTTGAATGAAGTTGCACTTAGACAGGTGGTGGGAAAACGGTTTAGTTTTTAAGATCGCAAGAAAGAAAACACACCAAAATTTCCTAGCATTGAAATATGATATTAAGCAGCATTCTGACGCTACTTAAGAATAATTAGAGTCATTTATAACGTTTTCTTTGAATAATTTATCACGGCTATTGAAAATTTAAGGTTTGAAATATATTTTCGTTTTAGTCGAATTCAAACATACAGAAGTTTTTACTTCTTACGGAGGTTATTTGCTAAACACCAAACTTTAAGTTCCTAGTGTTGGATTTTCAGTAGCTGGTCTAGATCACACAAAATTCGGCTTTTATCAGTTTAAAAGTTTTTTGTTTACTGCTGTCATAGTAATATCGATTTTACGTAAAACTACATTTTCACAAATTTCAATCTATAGCCATTTACTGGTGAAAATTTTATAGCGATCGGACTAGGAAAAAACCACATTTAAGGCGACTGAAAAATATCGGTATGGCCTCTGAAAAACTGTATCAAAACACCTTAAGTCTTTCTGGTGAATCGTTCTGTACCTTACTGAGAAACGTGTTCACTCCCTGGGCTGACTTTTCCATAAGCAGGGGATGCCTGAAGACCAGCAGCAGACTAACAGCGACAAAAACAAGTATCTTACTAGAGCCACAAACTACTTTGTCCCAGATCCTGCGGGCGAGGGGAGGAAAAAAGTTAGGGGCCTTAAAAAACTAACATGAAATAAGACGGCAACGTTAACGAAAACGTCAGGAAAACAATAGGTTTAGTGAGTAAAAAAACACACAACAACTCTGCACAGACACACCCTGCATCTACGAGCAGTGGTCTTCTCGCCCCGGGGCGAAAAAACAAACCAACTACGAAAATGACAAGGGACGCGAACGACTTCCATGCAAGAGAGAGAAACCTCTACTCGAAGGGTAGCACAGACATAACACATTTCTGTACAGTGTAAATTACTTTGCCATCCTCTGTCAAATTAGCAGTAGGAAGGTTAAAACAAGGGTCACCCTCCCAGCCGATAAGAAAAAAGGTTACCCCTTTTTCCAAGTCAAGAGCGCTCGTGTATGTTCTGAATATCTCGCCTCGACCCAATGGAGCTGGCTAAGCGAACCGAAGTGTCAGATGTGGAGAAAAGTTGGCCCGGCTAGGAGGGTGACCCTGCCATCGAAAAAGGGTGACCCGTGTAGGTGGTCAGCCTTCCAGCAGAGCCAACTTGTTGTTTCTCATGTAAACGGTTCGCCAAGTTTTGTAAGGAAATGTACCGCAGAAAAAGTTGGCTCGCCCTGGGAAACATGGTTAGGTGAGTGACCTTTCTGCCCGGGACCAGTTTAATTAAATTAGCAACACAACAACTTTTGATAATTAGGTTGAGCATGATCGTCTCAGTGAAAGTCGTCCCAAATAGGACTGTTGTTGACTGTCACTAACGTTTCGACAACCTGTGCGGTAGTTATCTTTAGAGTTGTTAGGACCTTTGACCCTATTCAGCACTACACTCACCAGGACGATCATTCCGAACCTATTTATGAAATGGCTACTGGGTTCAAACCTTTCACACAACAACGTTTGCACGTGAATCGCGCTTTTTTGTACATTTCTTTTGCTTATTTTCCCGACTTAAAATAAATGAAACGAGTTAAGATAATCTGGAAAAACTTTGAAAGTACGCGAAGTCAATTTTCAGCGATTGCGTCATTGCGCCATTGGCGTCACCTTTATCCAGATCGTGTTGTAAGCTCCCTGTTAAGAGGGAGCGACCAACCCCATAGACGGCGACAGCAGCGAAAACGTCACCAAAAATGTGAATTTGGCGGTATCTTTTAAACTTCATTGCTATAGAGAGAAGTGTGACGTCACATTACCATGGTAGCAAAATTTCTGGATCACAACAATAGGGAGATTGAGCAACGACGACGGCGACGGCAACGAGAACGGCATAAAAAGGAACAGAGTTATATTAGCAAAACAACAACTTTGCACGTGCATCACGCTTTTTTGTACATTTCTTAGTCGTGGTTGCACGACTGCGACATGAAACTTCCTAATTTCCTGCGCCCGCTTCATGGAGTAGGTGAAAAAAACACAAAAAGGTTCTTTTTCTTTTTCTAAACTTAGATAAGGTCCTTTCGGATTCACCACCTGAAAATTTCGCCAACATTTGACAAATTAAATGAAATTGAATAAGATCGATGAAGTTTGAAACAGTGCGTATTCACTTTTTAAGTGATGCTTTAAATTTGTTGTCATCAAAAAAAATTGCTACCACTGCAACGTGACGTAACGACTTCTCCTCTCTACTGTTGTGAACCGGAGCCCATGTTTAGGAGCTGAATTCTGTCGGACCGTATCCAACTCCCAGCGCAAAAATAAAATCGCTGTCTTGTGTTGAAGTCCTCCATAAAACGTGAAATTAGAAAATTTCAAGTCGAAGTAGTGCAGTGACAGAAAAGAAATGTACCAAAAAGGGTGATCACAGGCAAAGTTGTTAGTTTACTTGATAACTGAAACGTTCCTGTAAAAAAGAAACAAAAATCTGTATGTGATTGCCCCAACAGTCCTGATTCCCCAAAGGTCCTTTAAGTTCTGGTTTTGGAATCCGTCTATTCTACTTTTCTTTCATATATTCAGTATATTTTTTCCTTGGGGGAGAGTTGGGGGGGGGGGGGCACTAACCTTGTTTGATATTTTAGCCTCATGGGGGCGCTACTTGAAAAATCTACACTAACTGAACATAAAGTATACTTTGTAGACTATATAATTAAGGTAGTCCTGGAAAGAGTTAACATTTTTTTTCACATATTCTGACTGACCTTTCCATGCATGAATCAGGAATATCTTCAGCAAAACCACTTTCAAACCACCTTGAAATAAGTTAGACAGAATATAGGGTACAATGAAAGACGCTGTAGTACAACAGGCTTATTTTACTATTAAAAATTAAACTAGCCTAAAATTGACCATTAGAACCAGATACATTTATCAACACCATTACCGGTATGTGCAATAATGGACAAGTCTTATCTAGAACACAATAATGTGGAGACAAAATTTCTTTAAAACTGGACAGTCCACTCGGATCCAGTAGCAACTATTTCAATTTAAAATGGACAAGACAGTCCATCAAGGATGAGCAAACGTCCTTAGTATATTTTGTTATGGGTCTCTTAATTATTCCATTTTACATTCGGCAACTGAACTAATTAAGGGGCACCCTTCTTTCTAACCACTGAAAACAGCCGTTTCTCCTTGCTCCTTGCCGCATGGGATATTCAACAGCAAAACGTCCCAAGCAACGAGGAGCAAGTAGAAAGGGCTGTTTTCGCAGACGATTATTAACCAATTTCAGACTAAATTAAGATGTGATTTTCCCTCCCTATTTCCGGACTGGACTGCTGTTGTAATGATGCAAAATAAGAGGAATACCTAATTCCAGACCCTGGTTCCAAAAAGCAGAAAAAAACCTTATCCTATTTCATTCAAACTTAAATGGCTAAAAACTTTACACCATCTCGGACCAAAGCAGGCAAAATAACACACACTTTAGTGCCCCAAATACATATAAGGGAGTATCCCTACCCTACGAATAATATGTCTAACACACAAAATATGTTTAACATTGTCATAGCACAACGAAGGTAAGATGATGGCTAAGATCTGAAACATGATTATAGTGCATAGGCATGCCCATTGTAGAGGTAGTCTTAAAATAAGCTTTATTCTTTAAAATTATAGGATAGTTGGGGTTAAGTATAGCTTGTTTTTCTTCTGACAGTTGATAATCAAATTATGTTCAATCATGTGCAATCAGTTTTTTTCCTCTGGACATACAGAATACTGCTTATGCATGTAACACAAAATCAATACGCCATTTGCACTAAAAGGTCATGTGACATTGTTTTTATGAAAATCAAAGCAATATGATTTTGCCTTCGAAAAATAATTAGCAGGTCATGTCTTAACCAAATAATAGTGATTTGGTTTTTCAAACCCGCACCATTTTCTTAAAATGAGCAAGTTCAAAGCTGGTCACATGACCAAACTGTGATTTTTAAAATTATGAATTACCTCTTTCTGAACACAAATTTTGCACTTAAACTTCAAGGAAAATGTTTAAAAGATGATGTGGTATTGTTACAGCACATCTGAGAGTAACTATCAAACGTTTAATAAAATATAGGCAAAACATAGTTTTGGCCGCCATGTTGGAGGGTAAGAGTATGCCCTCCAACATGGTGGCCAATGCAAATGATACTACTTTGTTGAAAAATCAAAGTGCCATAAAATATCTCCCTTAAATGTGTTTCATTTTGAATTTTGGGTGTAAGATAATAATTATTTTGATGAGCTCTGTCAATTTTTAGTATCAACAAGATTCCAACTCATTGTTTAAAGGAAGCAATGGCCTCTTAGTGCAAGTGGCCTATTCATTGTAACCTTTTAAGAGGTATGATCTCAAACACTCCAATATTAAAGAGATGCTTGTAAAGTTGTAAATCCTCAGTTTGAAGATAATACTGAATCAACTTTGCCTGCAAAATTTCAAATAGCTGTGTTAGGTAGATGTTTCAAGTTGACATACATGTGCAGCTACAATAAAAGTCAAGCCACACTAGCTTTCTGCACACCTAGATAAAATCATTTTATTACCAAAGACAACAGGTATCTTTAGTCCTGTCAAAATAAAAAACCTTTGCAGTTGTGTACTGTAGTTCGAATAATAAATTATTTAAGATTTTTTTCTCCTTTTTAAGACCTCTTTATGATAACCAGGGTTAATACTCTTTTGAGCTTATCAATTTTCATGCTGCGACTTTCAAAAATTTTCCAAACTTTCCTTGTTTTATAATACACAATATTTTTTGACCTAACTCAATACAACAGACACAAACTCTGGTCTCCACCAAAATGTTTGCCATTTTGTGCTGTCTAATAACTTGTCTCTACCTTTGTCCTTTCCATGTTAGTGGCTAACATGCAAGCAAGCTCTCAATGCATGAGGGTAAAAAGGGGCTGCCTCCTGCTCAGGTGCTTTGTTTTTGACATGGTTTTGCAAAGTGGCAAGCACAAAACACCAGTGACTGGTGAAGAAGTGCAAGGGACCATGGGAAGGGTAAACAAGGGAGGCGACGTCTTGCACATTTTCTCCTTCCCACCTTCCTTTGCACAAAAATTTTCACCTCAGAGCTTTCTCACTTTCCTCATACCCCTAGGCCCCAGTTAAGAGCCCACTCACTGACGAACACTGCCCTAAAAGCGTAATGAAAGTGGAATAGTGATGATCATTACTCAGTACTTAAAATATTACCAGTTTATCTAATTGGGCAGCTGATTGGTCCAGACATTTCATAAATTTGACAGACAACCAGTAAAGATCAACCTCATCATCAAACATATCCATGAAGACCTGCACAACAGCTCTCATGGCCTCTGCTTTCCTTTCAAGTTTCTATAGTAAAAAGAGTTAGTACTGTTACAAGTATACACAAAAAAAATAGAGATCGAGGTCATTGCAGCCATTCAGTCATAGGTACAAAGAATGCATGCTGGAGTGCAAGAAATGCACTGAAGCAAGACAAACAAAGAGTTTACAATATTAATTAAAATGGTATTTTTTTTTTTTGTCTTTTTACAATGGGTTTCTTGCTCTCCAACATAGTGCAGTCTTTGCCCGCAAATCCGTACAAAACAGTAGCAGTATGAGAAAAATAAGCTATCAACATTGTCTTGGCACAAGTGTGTAACAATGAAAAGAACCTGGTCAGCGGTCAGCGAGCATGATGGCCGCGTTTTTGTTGGCTCTGCCAACTTGACATAATTTCTCACGTAAATCTTACTTTTACTTTTACAAACTAATCAAACAAGTAACAAACAATGTCTTCAAAAAGAGGAAAGCAAAAAGAAGTTGTGGAAGAGGATTTTGAGGCGTTTGTACGCCACCGGTTGAGTTCAATAAGTGACGACCTAAAAGAAATGAAAGGAACTCAAGTCAAGATTCAGAGAGACATTGAATCTCTTCAGGGTCAAATCAAGAAAAATGAAAGCTGGATTTCAAAACTGAAGGAATCTTTGGATACAAAGCTGGAGGTATTAACAGGAATCAATAACTCCACACTACACATCCTTAGGCCTTCTGAAATTTCCTGATATTGTTAAACTGAACACATGTATGCTTTTTTATGATTATTTCCACCATGAAAAGTTTCCTAATATACCTGTTTCATCGGTATCTGAACTACATAATTACAGTACCCGCAGTGCATCATCCAATCAAGTTGCAATACCTATATTTCGAACTAATCTTAGGAGATTTTGCCCCAGCATTATTGGAAGTTTCTTTTGGAACGATATTCCGCAATCCATTAGAGACAAACCATCTAAAAAAATGTTTAAAAAAGCACTTTTACACTGGTACCTGGCTCAATACTAATGAATCAATATCCCTTTTACAACTTTCTGAGCTATTTTGTCATTTTTCCTTTACTTTTTTATTAATAATCTTAAGTCCTTTGTTATACATAACTTTAAGGGGCACAATATTAGTTTATCTAGATGTGCCCCTCTCCTCTCCTTCCAATATACAATGTAATTCATTTTCAGTGTTGTAATTTCTATTTTACGCGTTTATTTCCTTTGTAAATCTTTATCTGTTACTATATTATTTTTTTTCAGTTATATTTACATAACTATGTATCAGCTAGGAATTGGAGGAATAAATAAATAAAAAATAAAATAAATAAAAAATACCTAATAGGATTCAAACCAACATGACATCCCAAAGAGTGGATAGGGTCCCACCCAGTTTTTAGCAGTTCATAACTTCAAGTTCCTATTTAGGACTCAAGAGCTTTTTCTCTGTCCAAAGTTTGTGTAATGATGAGTTTCATCTTTCTACTAATTATTGTAATTTAGACTTTTTGGTAATTAAACCAGCAGGACTGGATTGAATGCTCTCTTGTGTAGATCTTTCAGTGACATTTTGATGGTACTAATTTCACAGAAACGCATCTTGCACCATATGACACTCCCGAAGAATTTCTCACCCCATTACCCCCAGATTGCTACCCAACATCAATACATTTGACTAGCACAGTGGTGAGAGCAGGGGTCTTTGCATTTTCCTTATAAAATAATGACTGATGAGCAGAAGTTTCTCTGTTATTCTTAAAGAAAATGTTCATACTAAGCCAAGGATTCCATCTCAAGTGACGGAATTATACGTTTCTGGGAAACTGCCCACCTACCCCTCCCCTAAGCCAACATTTTACCCTAAGTGAGAAGTGAGTGTTAATGTTGGCTTACAGGTGGGGTAGGTGGGCAGTTTCCCAGAAACGTAAAATGACCCCAAGAGACCTTCCCAATCCATCACTAGTAGCTTCATAGGTTTAATGAACATGATTACCTTGGGTAGGTTGACGAACCTCAAGGCTCCTTCCTCTAACAGGTACATCATGGATAACTGGAAGGAAAGCTCATCTTCATCAGATATCTTCCTCATGACTATCAAGGCATGCTTGAGGTCATTAACGTGTTCACGACGCTGCTGAATGACAAACTGGTGGGCATCACGATACGGAGGAATGACACCTGTTTTTCACAAAAATAACACTGTATCATGCACCACTGAACTTTGAATCATAAGCAGTGGTGGATCCAGACAGGGGGGGGGGGGGGGGGGGGTAAAAGCTCATTTCCCACAAATTTCTTCCCCAGCTATAAAAAGGCGTGGTTGGGGTAATAAACGTTTCCCCGACGGCTGGAAAAGAAAAATGGGGGGCCACCCAGATGGGGGAAAATACCCCTTTTTTTAAAAAAAAAAACCCTTTTTCCCGCCCCCCCGGAATTTGAAACCAAAAGGGGGGGGGGACCCAAAGGGGGGGGGGGGGGGCAGGCCCCTCCCCTGGATCTGCCAATGATATATGATAATTCAGTATTTGTGTGAGAAAAGCAGAGTTCTCTCTTCATTGATTCACATGAAAGTTCTTAAGCTTGGAGTGAGAATATCCGTCATTGGTGACTTGTCATTTCGCCTATGAGTCATTAAGCTAACATCGTGTTCGCTAATGTCTTATGTTGTTCTGCTTAAGAAATATAACGAGCACTGTGCATGTATATACCTCGTTTTCTCAGCAATGATATGAAAAAGTGCAATAGGCATGTTTAGTATTCACCAAATCAGTGGATAGCAATTTTTGCGTGTTCTGATTGGCTCCCGTAACTCAGACTCCCGTAATATCCTTGGATATTCACTGTTTTGGAACGGGATTCAAAATAGCTTCTCATTTTACGACAGTTTAACTGAAGCAACTGCACCAAAAAATTCCAAGAAAGAGACAAAATTTGGCTTGTTTGTTTGTTCGCTGTTTACTGCTTGGTAAAAAAAAGTTTCTCACTGAATTTGCAACAAAATCATGAGAAAAAAGGACCCGGAAACACTGTCAGTCGAAACGTACGCAAACAAACTCTAACAAAATGACGTCTTCTATTTACAAAAAGTTCCTTTTTGATTTTTATCCAATTGATTTGGTAAATACTAAAACAACTATCCCCCTCAGGGTCGGTTCATAGTGCTAGATATAAACCTCAACGCTTCGCGTCCCAGTATATATCCAGCACTATTCACCTCCCCTTATGGGGATAGTTGTATAATATACCTCATTATTTTAGCCAGTGATCAGGCAAAAGCAGGTAGGGACCTGACCTAACACTTAATCAAAATAACTTAAAATGTTAGCAAACAGGACACTGACGAAAAGACTCGTAGGTGAAACGACCATAAACCCCCGGGGGTGGTACTTTAGGAATTTCTGGGTGGGGAGGTGCCGCTGGGACCCTGGAACCCTTAACCTATAACAGAGCTAGTTCAGCTGAATTTTGCTACCCTATACTAGAGTAAACTCCGCAAATCCCCCTATCTTAGAGTAGCTAATTCCCTTGTCTAGATAAAATCTTCAACCAACTGATCATTTTCCTGAAAAATGATACCCTATTCTCGACCCAAACGCTCTGATTTATATACCCTATCCTAGAGTAAACTGCCTGAAAACCATACCCTTCACAGCAGCACATACCTATATAGCCCATATATGGCAGTGCCCCCCCCCGGGCATAAACCCCACCAACTGGCTGTGGAGAAAAGCATCTCATAACATCCTGATACTGAAATTAAGAACACACCAGTTTGAATATTCAGCCGCTATATTCTGCTAAATCTTACGTAAGTATTTGCTTAGATTGGGGCCGCCTTTTTTAATGATGCCTGAATTTGAGTCCAGCATGACCATGAACAGTGTGACTGGGAAAACCGTGAGCACTGGAAATATCTCAGGAATGTTTACTGTGTTATGACCAGTCAGAGCAAAGATCAGGACAAGCGAATTGGCCACAAAACCACAGACTAATTCACGGCCTTGCTTGCGGTTTAGTTTTCTCATGCCTGATTGGCTTTTCTCTTGCAAGACAATAACATCCCAGAAATATTTCTGGTGCTCACGTTTTCCCGGTTTGACTGTAACTTATAAAGCTTCGTGAACCAATCGAGTAAAGCAACTTGCTTACCTAAAATTACTTTCCACACGTGAGTTCTGTATATAGCGGGCAAGCTAAACCGTGTACTAAACGTCGAAATTCGCTTCACGTCTGCAAAAATTAAAAGGCAATAAGCACCCTCTTCTAGGCGTTTCAGCAGGCTAGTCTGAAACAAGCTAGACAAAATTAAGCTGAATAAGGGACGTACATAGCCTTGATTTCTTAAAGACATCATTGATCTTAGAGAATATTTAATCACCTATGGGATCATCCTTCAGTAAAATTTCCAGTGCTTTTCTCTGCTCTACGTTTCGAAGCCCCAAAGTGTCATAGTAAAGAGTGCGAAAATTTCGCCCGTCTTTGTCCGCCATTTTGAAAGGTATATTTTACGGTTATGTAAGGCTCATGAAATGTGACGCGATGACAAGGTTAGAAATTAGAAAAACACAATATTCAAGCGAAAGACAAGCGAAAGAAGTCTATTGGTAAGAAGAATGGTTTTTTTTGTTATTGTTATTGTTTTGTTTTGTTTTGTTTTTTTGCCGTAATATAAAGAGTAGTGTATTGCTAAATGTTTTAACGCTTATAGAGACGATTTGCCCAAAAATCCACTGCCCAAGAATGTGATTGGTCCTCTTTTGGTCGACCTGCGTCACTCAAATACGTCTTTGCTTTAACGTAACTCCCTAACAACGCAAAATTTGATCGTTAAATAATTGAATGAAACAAAGACATTTTTCGTACCATACCGGGTTAATTTGGCTTCCTAAATGAGTTCTTTTTTGTTTTAATGAACTGATAGCCCCCTAGAAGTATGTACCATCCAGTAGGCCAAATCATAGCGGTCAAACGTCCATCTTCACATGCGACAAATTGGAGAACAATTTATAAGCATCAGATTCTTCCTATTTATGTGAAGTGGAAAGATCTTGTACGTAAACGTTAGTGATGACCTGGGGCCCGTTTCTCGAAAGTCCCGATAATTAATGGGCCCGGTAAGCTGTCTCCGTTTACATTAAAGATCGAGGTTTCATTAGTTTTGCATCTAACATGATAAAACTGTCAGTTAATGAAACAAAATGGAGTAGTTTGCTAGCCAGGACCCGCGCTCTTATTCTTTATATTTCGATTTGAATTTTTGATTTCGGGCCCGTAAAGTAACCGGGACTTTCGAGAAACGGGCCCCTGTGCCGGTCACGGGTCGAATTGACAGTGAGTACCACATTCCGAATGTGGTAGGCACAGTCAATAATAAAAAAAATACAACAAAGTGGCAGTTTCTTGTATTTTTTTTCTCTTTTTTGTCAACGTTCATCTAGGGTTGAATTAATTTTTTTTACTCCCTTAGCTATCCCTTAGCTATTGTATATTTTTCCTCGAAAATAAAAACCTAAATAGCCTAAGCATGTGCTAACGATGAACTACCATTTACATAAGAACCTGTTTAGGCTTACTTGGAAAAATCTAGGTTCTTAGTCGAGGGGTTTTACAGTTTAAAATCGTATTTTCTTCAGAATTTTTTTTGTAGGAAACGAACCTCTTGTTTCAGTTAGAAAGATCTCATTCCTTAGCTTTTAAAACAAACAATTTTGAACTCAGTTTGACACAGTAACCTTCGCGACCCGCAACATTATATTTAAAAGCTTTCCTCTCGATTGAAATTGCAATACTTGATACGTAAGATAATAAGCTTTGTCGCGAAAGCCCTCATTCGTTTAACCGTTGACATTAAATTAAACGAGATACTTCCCTTTGACTAATGTGCCCTCTGTCTGTTTAGTATCGCGTTGAAGAAAATTAAAATCTAAAGAAAATTCAATTTAATTTACCAAAAAAAAATGACATCTATTTTTGTTGCATATTATCATATTCGATCATATTAGAACTAATAAATGCGAATTTAAGGAGCAGAGTGAAACAGTCTAAGATGGAAATGGATTGTTAGGTCAGAAAGTTAGGCAGACATTTTAGAACTGACAGTATCTAAAAATTACACTAGCTGGGTACAACTAATGTCTATTCATTTTTATTTCCTTTTTTATGTCAAAAGTGACAGTACAATTTAACTTAGAAATCAATTGCTTTGCAGAATTTTGTCAAACAACAGGCAACATTTTGTTAATTAGAACTTTTTTCTATATCTTCTTCCGTCAGCACCCACCAAAACATAAACACTGAAAAAAAAATAACTTTTTTATTCACCAGATTGATTCTCCTTCTGGATATCTAATGAACTATTTGGGAGCTATTTTTGAGGTCGCTTGGCCTCTGTAAAATATAAGATTTGAACAAAAAAACTCCTTTACTAAGACATTCAAATTTAGGGTGTTAAAATAATATGATAAAACAACAGGACAAAAATATATTAACAGCCATCTTGTCTAAGATATCCGAGCAACGATGAGGAACGACTTAATTTAGAAATGCGATTTTTTTTTCCGTTTTGAGGAGGCTTAACAGTACCATGTTGGCACAGTTGGATTGCCGGACTTAACGAAACGTTTGCTGACAAGACAATAACTTAATCTTGTTTACTTATGGAAACTGAAGAAGAAACACCAATTGTCTGACTGTGGGCTGACAAATTGTTATAATTATATTTTTATCCAGAGGAGTTTAGCTCATCTGGAGTGCACGTAACGTTTTTTAAGGAAGAGAAAATGAAACAGAAAATAAGTAGATTAAAGAGAGGTTCCCCCTAGCGCAAACATTGGTCTTGAAAAGATCAGAACGTACGCTTTTAATAAAAGGCCGGTGGACTACGAAGAAGAACCTGGGCAAAAAAGTTTGCTACACGGGTATGAACTTTAAAGTCGCTAAAAATGCACTTTAGACAACCTTCAGGGTTTATCTTTAAATAAACTTGAATATCAGGAACAAGATTTTCGCCTGTCTTGACTATAAATCATTTAACCAAGACCACTTGAAGTACCGTCTACAAATTTGTCTTATTTTGGTTCGATTTCTTGTGTTATGGTGCTAACAAATTCTATCGTTCTGTTTTTACGAAGCCACGTTCAAATTGTCGTTACCCCTTTAGGGAGATATTTTGTTAGTAAACATTTGGTTGGTTAATTTGTTCTTTAAATTAAATTGGATGTTCTCTTACGCTCGGCTTTAAAAACGTACGTCTTAACTCAGCAAGCATTATTTGTTATTGTTGGATGACTGACGCCAATACCGAATGATCGATGCGTAAGAGACTCTCTTTAAAATACAAGATATGAGTTATAACAAATGCGCCACTGATAAACTGTTTGTTGTCGCAATAACTTTCTTATGTCTTATCTAAAAACTAAATTTGCTTGGTATAACGCAAGTCAAGCTTTTGTCCGCAAAGTAAATGTAGTGGGAGTACTTCAATCGGCTTTGCTTTGTTTGTGTTTGGGCGTTTGGCTCTTGGTCAAAACTGTAAAAGAAAAACCTTAGCTATTTCCTAGGAAAGTCATTATTTCGAGTACAAGTTTAATTCTCCCTTGGTGGTAATTTTAAGCTGGTTTCCCGTTCTTTTGTAGGCTCGGCAAGTGTTATCAAAATTAATCAGCAGATTTTCCTCAAAGTTGCAGTTTTCACTACTCTGGATTATGAAGTTGTTTCCACGCAAGTGGGCCGCCTTGATAATCTTTGAATACTTGTAGGCGTGTTTCTATAAACACGGAATTTCTGTAATTATACTAAAAGACTTTTTTTTGAGTAGAACAAAAAGGAAAATTTTGCGACTGATCGGTAAGGTGGTCCAAGATCGCCTCAGTAAATGGCGCGATTAATTTTCATTCATCCATTTAAAGGTCATTGAGAATTTTTTAGCAATAAGCAACTTCCTCTGTATGTAAATCGCGGAAAATGACTATCTATTTTTTCAGAGGTTCCAGAAACGTCTTCAAAGATAAAATCTGGTCAGAGGCGATAATTATTAGTTTATAAACTTGTGAACTAGAAAATATATTTAGATTTTCCCCGCTGAGCAAACAAGCTATATATACCTCCTGTTTTCATCCTTTGTTCAGCGACTGTCACAAATTCCTTGAAATAAAAAAAACATTTTTTGAAAACATGGCTGGTTAGGAAGGAAGCAATTGTCCTTTATTATTTGCTTTTTGACGCATTTATGAATAAATGTGCATGTGACTTGCTTAGCAAGGACAGATTACAGTAGTAGTCTCCGTGCGAACTGAACCAGTACGTACTTGAAAGCCACCCGGTTCTGGCCTCAACATGATTCCCAAGGCGGCTGTGGTATTTGTGATGCTGTTGTCATATGATGTTCTATTTTGCAGGTAGGTTTTTTTTGTGTTTTGTTTAGCATTATAGAAAGATTTGACCCAAGAGAAGAAGGGCCAGTTTCTTTGATTGAAAAGCGCCTTTGGGTTAATTACTCTATTCAGAATTAACTCTTTGTAATAACTCAGTTACGAACGGAAAACTCAACATAGAGAGAAAATACCCTTTTTCTGTGGATTACAGAAAACCCTGTTGTCTAGCAAATGTTCAGCTTGAAAAAATTTCTGCTTTCAATCATAACCGGCAACTAGCACTTTGTCCCTGGCTGTAAATGACTGTGCGTTTCATATTAGTTTCTAATTTTCCATTAAAAAATAGTAAAATGTGAAAAATAAAGAAATTTTAGTTTTGTTGTAACAAAACCTGTGGCCTTCGGGATCCAATTCTGTATTACATAGAGTCAACGTTTTATAAAAGTAATTTGAACTTATAGAAATTCCTCACGAAAACACCTGTCATGCACAAGCGGCTAAAATTAATTATTATCCTAAAACTGAAGGATTGGAACTGCAGAATAAACTGGACAATCGTGACTATAAAATAAATTGAGTGGGAAGATGAGCGAAAGCGTCACTCTGCTTAATTAAGTTTTGCTATCACTTCGAGGGGTTTTGGGGTCGAACGCTTGATACCGCATAAAAATTAAACGTCTTTTTGGGTTCCTCGCATATAAGCTCTTTATCATCAGCCTTTTATCTGCCATTTCTTTTCCCAGCCACCTTATTAAATTGCACTCTGAAAGTTATTAAAAAGACGCGTGTAGTTTCTGGACTTTTGTTAACCGCAAAAGTTGGATTTTTCACATGACGGGAAAGTAGCGCTGGCCCGGTTGGTCCTTGTTTCAACAGTATTTTTCTCTCTGTATTCCAGGGCATCGGGACGATCTGGATTTGACCTCAACGAAACATCATACCATGATTTCAAGGATTATGCAGGTTTACTCGAAGACAAAGTGCCGATAAAATCGATCAGTGACGCAGATAGTGAGTGGACAATATCACTGGAAGGTTCATCCAGTAACCTTTCATTGGAATATCTAAGCAATTCGTTAAACCTAACTGAACAAGACTTAGATTTAAGGTAGGGTGAGGAAAGACTTTGATTCTGCTGATTAAACTACTCCGATGACCTTGCAAAAAGGCGAATGTTACAGGAAGCAAATGTAGGAAGTCAAATGATCCTCGTGGTTTTCGATAGCTTCATTCGATAACTGCTGTGATTTCGACTTTTGCTGGATTAGGCCTTTTAAATCCACCTAAAGACTATAGAACGCCCAAGAAAAAACAACTTCCTAAAGCTGTAGGCGTCAAGCATTTGCTGAGAGGGAGATTTTTTAATGCGGCTGGGCGTTTCGTGCGCAGTCAATCAAATTTAAGTAGAATTTTAAAGACGCGGCCATGAGTCAGCAAACGATTGATTGTCAATAGAAATTAACGTTTTTAATTAATTGCTTTTAGTCTTTTCATCTAATGAAAACGCATAAACGACAAGGAAAGCATTGAGTAGAAATGCTTGGTTCTCAGGCACTTTTAATACCTGCAATCGTTGGGTCTTTTTTCCTTTTCACACCCCGTTGCCTCACGCTTTATCCGCAACACTGAAAAACTTAAATGACGGGAAAGGTTTAAAACCACGCGTTGGGCCCGTTATTAAAACAGTGTTTAACGGAACCGCCTTCTAACCCATTTCAATTCTGGCCGACCCTCACATCTTGGCATTGTTTGATGTGAAAAGCCACAAGAAGTCTTACAATCCTGACTTTAATGCTGCTGTATTCATCTGCCTAAAACAAATACAGACCTTACGAAAAAATCAGCTAAGAGGCTCAACAAGTGTCTAAAACCCACAAAGCTCTCCTTTAGTTTCCCCCTTACAGCTGCTAATACATGCATTCTACGTACCTGATGCATTCTATCAGCAGAGTAATGTCCCTTCGTGGATTGGCGCAACATTTGTACCACGGGAAAAACGTTTAAGACTTCAAGACGCGAGATTATAGCTTAATAACACAGTGATTTACATTAAACGTTTTTTTCTTAGCTACGAGACAATATGGTATTTGGACGGCGAAGAACGACGCTCAATAACAATAAAACGAGCAGTAGAGCAAACAACCCGAGAGGAGAATCTGGATAACAAGGACACTCAACGTGTTGCAATAAAAATCAACAGGTACTGTAGTTTCAATGCCTATGATGATTCATACAAAACGTTTAAAACTGAAGTGAACGTGACCTTCATTCTACCGCGAAGTTCATGTTTACTTTCACGTCTTTGCCCACAGTTTAAAATATGATTCATTGCATATATTTCAAATCAAAAAAAGGAAAAGGTTTTTTAATCAAGTCCCACGGACGGCCGCGAAACAAGAGTGTTTTGTAAGCCAAAAAGGGATTGACGGTCAAATTGGCGAAAATAGGATCAGGCTGCATTTTGTTTAACGTTCAGCGAGAAAAATTGTGGCCTGACTTTCATTAGTGTATCTCCGCTTGTATGTGAAAGTTAAGTCCAATTTGACTGTATAAATATCGATATTTCAGTCCCCGGCGCATCCGTCCTCAGTTTCGTCACGAAACGTTTCTCTCCACGTTAAGAATCAACTAACCGAGCGAGATGTTCTAAGCACACTCATCATTTCTCTATTTCAGAGAACAACCTCGCGTGAAATCCAAGCGATGGATCTTTGGTAACGACGATCGGAAACAACTTCTGCCTAATTCTTTTGAAGCCCAGAAAATCCCTCACTCAGCCGCATGCAAAGTGGCTTGTAAAGGCTTCTGTTGGTCATGCTCGGGTATTCTAATTGGTTCTCGTCACGTGCTCACCAGCGCTCACTGCGTGGACGGTGAAACCGCTGGCGCGTTGCGTGTTGGTTTCTTAGAGCGTAACGGCCGACTTCATTGGTACAATGTAATGAAGGCTTATGTTCCATTAAGATGGACAGCCTCAAAACCTCTGTCGAGCGATTATGCTGTACTGAAGTTGAGAAGGCCACCAACAAGGCGAACTTATGTTAAAATTGCATCACTGGCTTTGCGGAAAGGCTCAGTGATTTCTTTTACAGGTAAATACATAAGTATGAACTAATTATAAACTATAATTTTTGATTGGCCGGAAAGCAATTTCCTTCCGTATCATCGCGTTCGTCAGAACGTATCCTAATCTGGTGGTCCTGTGATACAAAGGCAGAAATTTTCGAGCTATCACCAACGACTGCAAATTAGCCCCCCTGTTAGTTTTATCAGGGGCATCTCGCCCGGAAACTGCACTCCTTTCGACTCGATTTCGTTTCCATAAGTGATGAACACGGATCCGTAATCAATGATTGCCTCTAGTTAGTATCAGTAAGGTGTCCATGAGGCGAGGGGTGACCGTAAAAAACGTTTTTACTGCCTTATAGAGCCCTATCGTTGTTAAACGGTTGATTATTTCCTAAAAAAGTTAGTTGTATGCAGTATGTACCTATCAACAGAATTTGTTGAATGGGCCAAGCCTGTTTATCATTTTATGGTTAAGTATTTATTTGACTTATTTTTTCTTCTCAAGGATTTCCTGGGGATAAAGTTCGTAATAGTCTCTGGACCACAAAATGCTCCGTGTTTCTGGTACAAGGTGGCGTCATATATAACAAGTGTGACGCCACTCGTGGAAGTTCGGGATCGGGAGTGTTCGTAACAGACAGTAGTGGTACGAAAGTCGTCGGCGTGCTGTCGGGAGAAACAAAACGCAGTCGCCTGAATGTTGCTGTTCATTTTACGCGGTCTAAAGTAAACCAGATTAATGGGTGGACACGTAAATAAAGTTGTCAAAACTAGCGATTAAATATGAAAAGCTGTTAAAAATAAAACGAGTGATTATACAATTCTGTGTGTTGCACAAGATAGTTGTTTTTCGTAGACAATTACTATTAAATAAACACTGATCGTTCCCAGATTATCTTGTTCTTATTCACAAGTAACTTATTTCATTATTGTAGCTACGAGGCCTGCCTAGACGTGTCTTTATATGGAAATTGTAAAAACAGCCTCTTTCCCCACTCCCCCCCCCCACAAAAAAAAAAAAAAAAAAACAAAAACCCAAAAAAAGGGTAAAGAAAAAAAAGAAAGGAACGGAGAAACAAAGGAAAATATGAAGGCAAAAGAGAGATGGGGGGGAGGGGGGGGGTGGGGTGGGGGGGTGGCATTTGAGGGTGGGGGGGGGTGTGGGTGAGCGATCTCCGGTGGGATGTGGCAGGAGGGGGAAAAGAAAAAAAGAGAGGGGGAGGAAAAAAAGACCGGAAGGGGAGGGATAAAAAAAAAAGGTGGTTTGGTTGGGCGTTGTTTTTATCCAAAATAATTATAAGGGAGGGTTTTTTAAGGGTTCCGCTCTCGGGGGGGGGGGGGGGGGGGTACGTACGTCCCTAGTCTTAGTATAAAATACGGTCGTTTCACGTTTTGAGGAGTAGGCCAAGTCCCTGTCGCTATTTTAAACCATCTTTACGTCGTTGTCGCCATTTCGTTTGTCTTATGTCACTTGTCGAAATTTTACCCCAACATGGCCTGAGAAAGTGATATGCAACTCAGAAATGGCTATCATCAGAAATGTGGCAAAATACAACTGTTTATTGACTTTTCAGTTAGCAATGCTATTGTAGCATTTGTTTTCGTTTTATCAAGAAAATAGGTAATCTCTGAAAAACCATTCACCCGCGGCATTTTTAAAGCCATAAAAATAGGACTTGCCAAAAAAATCTTTATAAGCCTCAGAAAAACGAGGCAAGTTTATTTCTTTTAAAGGCCATTTGCACGATGACATCATTTGACTACAACTATGAAAATACTTCAGCATTGTTTTCTTGTGCATATTAGGGTATTGATTCTTAACCCGTTCACTCCCTGAACTGTGTTGAGTCAAAATTTGGCAAAAAAGTTCAAATTTCATTATTATTTAAATCCGAAAAATCAAAAAGTAGTATTAAACAGTACTACGAAAAAATTTCATTTGCATGGTCATACCATAGGATTTCATCCGCAGACTCAAAAAGTTGGAATCACTGTTACAGGACGTAATCATTCAAAGTAAGCATCAAAGAGTTAAACCTCTTTGAGATTACAATATTTGGTAGTTGAAGTCAAATGACTTATCGTCGAAATGGACTATAGACCTCTTTAGCTTGTACGTTTTTTTCCGATGCAGGTCATGTGATAATACTCAAGAAAACTGTTTCCTTCAAATTTCGTCTCATTAACGTGCATCTGTACGCATAATTCATGACAAGACAAAGGCTCAAATTTCCCCGAGACCTTCATTGGGAAAACAAAACATACAAGTTAAAAAAGTCTATTAAGCGTTCAAACCGATTTCATAGAAATCATCGATAAGTTTCACATACGCATCAAACTATGATGGTCACTTGAAAATGTGCCCTTGATAAAGAAAATATATTTTTCTTTTTCTGATACCTTCTGATTTTAGAGACTAATAAGCAAAAAAATAATATCAATAATAATAATAATAATAATAATAATAATAACAATATCTTTCGCTTAGCGAAAACATTGTAACTGTAAATATTTCAATGAAATTCTACATCTGATCCGTTTAAAAGAGAGCCATCAAACAGTGCGGCATGACAAGCTTTTCTTACTTGTAAGGTAGTAAAAACAAATAGCATAATTAACAATTATTGAATGAACCTAAGCATGATGAAAGGAATCATACAGAGCAAGAATCCACCGACGCCGACAGCCTCCGAATTCTACATAATTCTTCACATCCGTCATGCGAAAGCTGAATTCAATAATTGCTTTGTTATTCATTCAAAATATTTCTAAGGTCGTGACAACCTTACCTCCTCGTAGAATTTCTTTAAAACATTTGCTTGTTTCTCGGCACTGAGATGCTTTCTCTTGCAGATACTCTTTAAAAAAGTACATGACATTCATCAAGGAATAAGGGCCTGTTTACATGGAGGTGGGGGGCCCCCGATAGGTGAGGTAACATGTGGCGGGTCACCCCATCTATCATGTAAACGTGATCAAGTTAAAATGAGAGATTATATGGACAGGCAGGTTACCTCACCTAAGCGCGTTACCTCGCCTACCTGGGGTCCCCCACCTCCATGTAAACAGGCCCTAAATTTTTTGGCGTATTCTCGCATTTCTTATGCTTATTTTCACTAAGGAATTCGGCTTCTTCATGTTAAGCAAACTCTTCCGCTTTTTTTGCCCTCCTGGAAATGAGGTGGCTATTTTGTGTAGGGCCAATATACCAGCGTATCGAGTGTATATTGCCTACATTCTCCAAAAATAGAAAGCGACGGCTGGTCGTGAAAAAATAGCCAGAGGATTGGAGCAGAGTCAGACACGGCAAAATAGTTTGAATGAATAATACTACCATTTATACTTAAAGTACATTTATCAACACGGCTCAATTTCCCATTTGGGGACCAAGGACAATGATGATGACATTCATCAAATTTAGGACCGTGATTTAGTATGTGGAAGATTCCGTAGTATCTCAAGGTATTCCGAAAATTTCTCAAATCCTTGAAATGGACCCTCAGTGTGCATTGGAAGACGATCCGAAGTGGCTGCATTTCTGATGCGGGACCAAACAATTCTGAATTAGTGCTCTGTATGGGGTCTGTCAAAGATCACGGCGTGGGCTAAACAATTTCTGGAATATCAGGAAGATTCCGTAGTAATTCAAGGTATTCCGAAATTTTCCCAAATAGACCCTTGTGCGTCGGAAGACGATCCGAAGAGGCCACATTTCTGACGTGGGACCAAACCATTATGAATTTATTGTGTCTCTGTATAAAGTCTGTCTAAGATCACGGCGTGGGCTAAAACATACTTAACATGTTCCAATTTCAGAGAGAACAGAGAAGTTTTCAGTCGCGACGAATACAGTTTGGTAATTTCTTTGATTTTCCATGACTCGGTTTATGACTATAAATATCTCGTGCCATTGTTTTAAACAAAGTCTCAACACCAAGCTTCGAACCCAAACCAATCACGCCTTGCTCGCAGTCTTTCTTCCCGCGCTTGGCAAGCTTCGTGCTGGTGATGAACTTTCCTCGAGTTCTGATTGGTTCCTTGAAATGTGAGCATCTGTCGTGATTGGCCACAAAAAGCCAAGAGAAAATCACTTGTGCTGGTTTTACGATACCAAGAGACTCTGTTGACGATACTCTGTATAAAAAATACCGTCAACATTCCTAACAGAACTGCCTAGGTTTCAAAGCAAGCCATTGCCATCAATGCCCTCTGCTAACTCTGCTGCATTTAAACCTGGGTACATTTTCCTTGAGGTATCTGACCGCATGTTATCCACCAATCCCACCGAGCAAAAACGGACGATATCAGAGGACACCCGAGACAAACTGTTTCTTCAAAATCTCTTGTCTCATTACCGTTGTCGTAGTATATTTTGAACTTGGCCACCAACGGATCCTAAGTGGTAAAACAAAGTGTCAGAAAACTACTTACTGGGGAGCTTTAGCAACGAAAGTGTCAAAAAAGCAATAAGTTTGTTACGCAAAACAACAACTTTGCACGTGTATCACGCTTTTTTTGGTACATTTCTTCGCCGTCACTACACCACTACGACGTGACACTACCTAACTTGACGTTTTATGGAGGATCTTAAAAAGCGACGAGAATTTTCTTTCTCTTTCTAAACTTCAGTGCGGTGCCCAAGAAATCAACTCCTGGGAAATTCGCCTACATTTGACAATTTCAGCAAATTGGAATAAACGCGACAAAGTTTGAAAAAAACACGAATCCATTTTAAAATTGACGTTTTCACTACCCTCGTCGTGGGCGATGCTAAAAACAAAGTAGAGGGGTGGAGCTTAAAAATAGTCCTCTGTGGTTGTTTATCATTAACTAAAGTTTTTGGAAAATAAAATGAATAAAAAGTAAATGGAACACGACTTTTCGGGTCGTTTCGGAAAGTCTGATTTCGTGTTCCATTTCTTCAAAGCCATCTTTGATACCAGTTTCAGCCTGTGGTAGCCGTTTTCGGTAATGTAACTGATTAGTGCACATAGTAAACGCGATTCCGGGAAGAAATTTACCAGTCCTGAATTTTGCTTACCATTTGCCCAAACCGTGAACCGATCCGACAAGTTTTCCCATGTAAATAGTAAACAACCAGAGTCTCCATCTCAAAACGAAACGAGTAAAGCTTAAACCAGCCAGAATGGGTTGAATAAGAGCTTCCTACTGGATTTCAAAACATAACGTTGCATATAAACAGGGAACGTATAAACGATCTCCGACTTAAACAGAAAAGACTTGACTGCGGAATAGCGTCTTGAAAAGTAATCTGTGTTGACACTCGGACACTACCCTGCGAGCAGAGGCTACATTTTCGCGGTATGAGATGGCGTGCCAAAAGTAGCCTCGCTACTTTTCGCACGCCATCTCATACCGCGAAAATGTAGCCTCTACTCGCAGGGTACTCGGACAGAGAGTAGTGAACCATACATACAGTATATAGCTGATTCAATGAAGGCTGCTTACTAGGAAATGGGCAATTGCGTATTAGGAAGCTATTGTTTGGTGATTACTCAATCAAATCAGTGCATTGTTCCATATGCCCAATGCCCAATTACCAATGACCAATTGCCAAAGCAACCTTTTGTGATTTAGCTGTATGACAAACGTGGTGAGCAGCATACAAAATAACTCGAAATAACTCTCTGCTATTGCGGTGTCCCAAACAGTTACTTCATTTTTTATCATCTTCAACCTATCACATTAATTCGTTCCGCCTTATGTTTTGGTTTGTTTCGTTTTGTTTTTCTATCTAAATGTTTTGTTTCCCTCCAGGAAAAACTAAGGAAGGAATTGAACTAAAATAAAATAAAACTGATTGGTATTATTGTTGGTTAAAATAGCCTACGTGGCTGGCGACCGTGTTTTATAGACCGCGCGAGGGGAAATGCTCGAAAGGGAGAGGAGGCGCCTACAGCAAAAGGCTTAGTTTTCCGTTTTCTACGTTATATGAGTGAGCGCAGAATGCCAAAAAACCGGTCCCTACTACGCAGGCTATGGTTAAAGAAGGAGAACAACAAAAACACTACCTCTAACTTTTGTAGTCTGTTGAGCTGCACAACTTGCGTTATCGTCCCCATATAGGGATCAAGGACTTCACCAGCCACATATCGAAGGTGAGTCATAACAGGCTTCAAAGAGAGTTAAATATATATTGTCAAGAAACAGAATATGCGAAATCAATTGCTGCTAGCAACAACTGCTGCTGGGCGTTAGCGAAATGACACAGTTTTCCTTAGTTCGGGGGAAATTATAGACTTTCTAAAAGTCCTTTACTTTTTCCTGGTTGTTAACGCCAGTTTATGCCAGTTTCACACCTGTTTGGCGCGAAATTAACCGGTGAAAAATTCCACCGGTGACGTCATGACAATTGACCAATAGAAGAGTGAGTGATATTAGACGCCACTCCCGACATAGCATATGTCAATCATTTTTTCTCGAGTGAATTTATAATATGATTCAAGTCCATTCACATTTCAGGCGAAACAAGTCGACGTCGCTTGCTCGATCGCTGCGCGACTTCATTGAAGCTCACTTCACTCGATTTTGGAAACTTCTGAGAGGTCGACTTGTAACAAGTCTTGACACGCTCTTGCTTATGCTTGTGTTATGCTTGCGTCGCTAGTGTGGGCCGGGCATCGTTTACCTTTTACAGCATATTCAACAAATCGACAACAGTTTTCTATGGTCTGTACCCTTATCGATCATAAAAATGACGTCAAAATGTTCAAAACTCAAATTGTAACCTAGCCTGCGAGCAAGCTCTCTTATTTGGGCGAGCCTCGCGAGAACGCGCGAGCGAGGGGCTTCGCCGCTCGCTCGCGCGTTTTCGCGAGACTCGCTCCGCTCGCCCAAATAGGAGAGCTTGCTCGCAGGCTAAGTGTAACCACGAGCCGCAGGCGAACATTTTGACGTTATTTCCATTGTTGATAAGAAGTATAGAACGTTTTCACTCACGTGGCCAGCATCTACGCAAATTTATTGGAACAAGAGAAAGGGTTTGCGTACGAAAAGAGTTCAAATCCCACATGATTGGTTTGGGACACCAACATGGCCGCCGTTTCATTGTTTTGGGACACCAATATGGCCGCCGTGATGTCATGTGACA